ATTTATACAAGGTTTAATAGAACAAATACAGTACATGCATTACTAATAAAGCAAATACGAAATTAAAAGTATACCTTCTATTTAATACAACTATAATCAATACCATTAAATGTAACTCTTATCTTGTCGAGTCAATGGCTGGCAGGATAATGGTTAATTGAATTGTCGTTATCATTTAAATTAACGCATATATTGAAGCTTCTTGAACGTCATAGATGGCTGTGTCATCATATTGTCAAGTGGTTGCCATGGATATAGCTCGCACTCATCTGGTACAAATACGTTCCAAATGTGTTATATAATATGGAGATTCAATGAACAATTGCTTCAATACACTGTTGCAAGACAGTGAGGCTGTTTGATAGTTTTAGTGAATACAACTGAGGGAATTGAGTATTGAATTAAAGTTAATTGATGGTGAAAGTAAATAAACTGGGACAGCACACTGCCAATGATGCCACTGCTCTTATGCCATTGTGTGTCAGTAAGGATTAATTTTAATATTGAATCATTACTGGTTTAGTTGAAAAGTTTAATTTTTTCATTAATTTATTTTCAATTTTTGGTTTGTGTAGACTCTGGTAATGGGCTTGTCTTCGGTATCTCGTTGACGAAATGCATCTCCAACGATATCGCTTTGAAAAGAAAGCGAAGTACACAGCGGAAGGAAAGAAGAGAAAGCTTAGACTTGGCGAACACAGTTTACAGAATAAAACCGGCCAATGGAAAAAACAACGAAGCCAAAGAAATTGTCAAGAGACAGGTAAAAAACACATGTAACCTGCTGTTGATGTTCAACATCATTGTTTACTTTGATCTCGTAGTTAATTACAAAATGATGTTACTTCCGATGCAAGCTTTGTTTCGTAGAATATTATTATGTTGCAATGGAATTAGACAGAGAGAGATTTTGTTGGATTTCATAAGAGCATGCAACTGTTGTAAATTACAAAGTGTTCACTTCGCTTTATTTCATTCCAGAATGCATCGAACTGACAACCATTTTTCAAAATGGCTAAGAACAGGGTTTTAGCCAGCCACCAAACGGACTGGCAAATTTGATTTTGGACTGGCAACTTTTTCTGTTTTTTCCTATTGTTCTTTGATAATTTTACCAAAACATATTGAAAACCATTTACATTTTCATGAAGTTGAATTGTTTTGGACTGGCAAAACTCCTGGCTAATAGCCTGGCCAAGTATATAGTTGAGATACATTCATATTTTATTTCTTTCTGCAGGTGATAGCATCTGAATCATCGGCATCCACAGAAAGTAACAAGTCTACTGCAAATGCTAGCCTATTAGACGCATTGTCGTTGTCCACGTCCAGCAGTGACTGTCATCGGAAAGAAAAGAGGAAAGCGTTAATGGTTCGTGAACCACAAGTACCACATATTGTAGCTTCCTGTTTTAAGTACATTGAAAATCATGGAATAAGGGTTCTGGGAATATTCCGTGTTGGTGGTTCAAAGAAGAGAATTAAACAGGTTAGTAGCAGGCAGTTTCTGTTGTGGATAGGTGGGGGTGAGGGGTACATAATGGTCCAAAGTAATACATCTAGCAAGGGATGGAAATGTTCTCTTAACACTTTGGGGTTAGGTCTTATAATCTATTTTGAACGAAATGACTAGTCACTTAGCCTGCCAATAACAATTGACAAGGTATAACAAATTTAGAATGCCTGTCTTGTACTTCTCTTTGTGGAGAATGATAACATTCATTTATTTCACTGTGGAATGCATGGCCTGGATTAAAAACAAGAGTATAAATAATTGATTGTAACATACCACTAGAGGGCAATGTTGCACTAACACACAGCAATGTCATTGAAAAGATTCTTTTTATTAAAATTCACAATCAAACTTTATTAAATTCAGGAAAATATTAAATTATATATCAATAAAAATATTAATATAAATTTAAAAAATAAGGCAATCACTAGGTTACTGTTAATACAAACATGCAAGTAATTTTTTTGGCCACAAATACTTAAAATATCACCCTACCAATTTCTGTACATGTAGTTCAGTTGTTTTGGCATTTCCTTATAGCCAACCATCACCGCACTCACTCGAAATAATTTATCTTCCAAGTTTTCTATCCAAATTGTGTGTTTTCCTGGAGCAACATTCCATGCAATCTCGTGCACCAAAGAAGTTATATATTCAGATTTTGATTCAACTAATGTGGCACTGCTTAGATCGTGGTTCAACCAAACTAACGCTTGTCCACATGCTTTGCAAGATACTTGGGTCATGGAGACTACTGATCTATGGTTTATTTTATGATGTACACTGATCGTAAAATATGTTTGATCATTCCGACGGTTGCTTTCCCAGTAGCGTCCCAGTTCACCTTCAACAAATCGCCAGCTTTGAGAAGCAATTGGATTCAGTACGTGTTGTCGCTTTGAAGCCAGCCAGCACCTTGGTTCGCGTAGCCAAACATCACTGTTCATCGGTTTCCGTGGAGTTGCCGCGACGTGTTGTACACTTCCATAATGGGTGCTTAAATTTTCAGACAGATGCTTCGAACTGATGACAAACTCAGAACCTGATTGTGTGTTGTGTATTTCCTCCAATGAAATTTTTGTCAGTAGTTTCTTAAAATTGTTCAAAAGAACGAGCATTATTTGTTTATGTACACGAAGTGTGAAACTCTCGGTGTCTGGTTCAATGACATTATAAATACGCCACATCTTAGAACAGAAAGCTTCATTCCAACTCACCGTTGTGATGTTGTAATATTTTGCTAGTGAGTTGTGAGCAAAATACTCTGCACTAATGCAATTTCTACTTTGAATATCGGACATGGACGGGAAATTAACATAAATTGGGATGGGCCTTCCAGGTGATGATAACACCTTCCTGGTAAGCTCCTCTAGAGGCCTTCCTGCATTGACATAGTTATTCCGGATGTATACTTCCTGCAGGTCGTAGTCAACGCCGGCCGTTTCAATCAGGATAATATCCATGTTACCGACATTGAGATGCGACTCCAGACACCAGGAGAAGTATTCGCTATTCCCGGATTTCAATCCTATGTTATGTACCTTAACCTCGCTTTCCATCATCATTCCCAGCCAGCTAGAAAACATTTCTGCATAGGTACTGTTATTCAGTGTCTTCGGTACTGATGCCGAGCTGCCAACAACCCCGACGTGAAGCACCCTATCTGTAAACAATATTCCTCGTAAGCGTTCTTGCAATTTATACACATCTCCAGGGAAACCCCACCGAATGTCTGGATTAACTTCGTTTTCCATATTTTCCGTAGTCAAATTATCTTGAATAGATTCTTTAATATTGTTGCGCATTCGCACAAAATTCCTCTTTGTGGAATCCTTAGAATCTCTTGGCAATGGATGAGAAAGGACTGTATTCCAGATTGAGGTATCGTCATAATATTGATTTGTGGAATTCGGAACTCCATTTATGCTCAAGATCCCTTTGCTGGATCTCTTGGGAGTGTTGTTTTCTGGCAACTTGATGTTTTGGATGATAATGTAGGAGCAGCATACAATGTTGAAACCTAGCAATCCAGCTAGCATATACTTGTGATATACCCGCATCCTGTGTGCCTTCATCATAAAAAATAAATAAATAAAATAAGCACTTTAGTAGACTGATGTATGTATGATATACTAGTCTGATACAATGTTTATGAGCGGTATAAAAAACATTTTTTTTTAACATAAATCCGAGTATGCACTGTGTTAAGACAAATTTTGTTTTTTCATCATTTGTGTTGAACTTGATTGAACTTGGAACTTAATGTTCCAGAGAAGATGAATTTAACAGCTCTCCCTAACTTTCTCAGCTTTATATTCTTTGAAATGACATTAGATTGGTGATGCGTTAATTTAAGATGCCACACAATTACTGAATTATTAAATTACTAAATCCAAATTTAGCTTCTGCCAAATCAATTCAAGAAATTTTAAAAACAATAAAATACAATCAATATTACACTTGCAGGCAGGCAACAAATGTAATTATTATGAAAATATATTTGAGTTGTGGTTGTAAAACTTTGATCTTTGATGGTTGTGATCGTTGATTTGTTCAATCGTTGCATAGATCATTCTCTAAAACATGCCTACGTCACAAACTGGTCAAAATCCCCCAAACATTGCCAGCAACCAATCACAGACTAGCTTAAACAATAGCTTTCCCTGACGATAATACTTAGCAACGTTATTGCCCCCCACGATAACTTGAAAAATGTTTTGTTTTTGTCTAGTTTCCGTTTCTGGTCTGTCTTAGAGAATACTGGATTGTATTCACCATCAACATGATATTCTCGAAAATGATCATACAAAAGTTGCCAAGACCACTCACAAAACAAGAACTAATATTGCTATTAACTAATATAAACTAGAATTTCCCCCTTCTTCACATACCTGTGGACTTTACTGAAGCTGTTTCTGTATAAACTCCAGTTTTCAATTGTTTCACTGACTCAGTACTTGTCAAAACTCCCACACATGGCCTGCCAGGTAGTTTTCCACTCTGTTTTGGGGTTTCTCCATTTTAAAACAGGGGGGGGGATTTGAGTAAAGAAAAATTGTCAATGGTGAACCGTCAAAAAATCTGCGCAGTTTCTGTTTAATGTAAAAAAAAAAAATGAGAACACATGTTTATACAAGATTTTTCATCATTTAGATAGATATTATATTATTATATTAGAAAACATAAATTTCCCTAACCCTCCCACCCCTCTATTTTGAATGAGTAAACCTCTCATGGTAATGAAGTGTCAACATTTTTGTAGTCACACAGAAAGTACACTTTGACAATATGACATTGTTATGCTAATTAGGTATGTGACTGTGTTACTAGTAGTTTTGAGGCATTGCAACAATTTACCAGGAAACCACAAGGTTTCAAGTTGTACCAACATTAATAAAGATGGAACAGTGGTTCACTGATACTGATTCTTACTGTATTTTCAATTCTGACGATTTTTGAATTAAAAGCATAATACTGTGGAATACTTTATTTTCGCTGGAATTAATTTTCGCTGAAAAAGCTTTTTGGGCGTTTTGCTTGGAATTTATTTTCACTGATTTTTCATGAGTTTAATGTGAAATATAGGGAAAAAAGTATATTCGCTGGATTTTATTTTCACGGAATCATCCCTTCAGCGAAAATAGCGAAAATAAATTCCAAGCGAAAATAAAGTATTCTACAGTATATCATTTTATATATGGTTGGTACTGTAAGATATTTTTCCACTTGATAATTATTGTCGAAATTCCTGCAACTTCCTGCGAAATTGACACTGAAAAAATTGATGTGTTTTTATGCTGTACAAAAATGTAGCACTTGCGAAATATAAATATGTATCCGAAATGATGTATAACTTTTCTTAAATTTGTATGTTAAAATATGTAAAAAAAAAATATTCACCTGGAACTGGAACCTTCTAAGCGCACAATTCAAGTGACAGACCTTACTCGAACCCAAAAAGTATATTTTGTGATTTATCTAATTTTACTTTTTTTTCTCAATTTTAGCTACGTGATGAGTTTGACAGTGGTGATGATGTCAAATTGTACGAAGGCTGTAACCCCCATGACATCGCAGCAATGTTAAAAGAATATTTTCGTGATTTACCCGAGCCACTCCTCAGTAAAGAACTGTACTCTGCATATGTAGCTATATCAGGTGGGTAGGGAGTGTCAACACTGATTGTGATAGTATTTTGTATTGGAGAACTACTAGTAATATGATGAATTGTTGTTTATGTATCATCTTTACTTTAACAACATTTCTAGACAAAACAAAAAAAAATATCATTTTAGTTATCTAATATCAAGTAAAACGAATGAATTTATTGAAACTGTTTAGTTATAAAACTGAATATTTCTAGTGTTGTTTTATGACATAAAAACAAAGTAAAAATCAAACATCAACACTAGAGGGTGTTCAATGTAAAACAATGAATCAATGAATCCCGAATTTAAAGCGGGGGAGTCGTCACCTGCGCATGCGTCGAATGGCCATAGCGTGTCATTGTTTACAAAAAAGTGTCTACCCATGAGCCTTTGTGTTTTTAGCGTGTGTTGTTATCATCACTTGGGACTCAATTCCCATGCGTGCGCAGGTGACGATCCTCCCACTTTAAACAGAACAAATTAGATAGAAGGCTGGTTACCTTTTCACCTTGCGAGAACTGTACCTAAGTTGTCAATTTCAATAGCAGATTGGGGTGCTAAATACTTGTAATATTGTTATATTTGAACAACATTAAAGAGGAGGGCGGCCTTCACTGACATTGATGCCTTTGTTTTTATTTGATAGGTATAGAGAAGATTGAAAATCGTGTGAAAGCCCTTCATTATTTGGTATGTTTGTTGCCACCAGCAAACATTGATACTTTATATGCGTTGTTGCGTTTCCTCCACAAAGTGGCATCCAATGCCAAGGACTCCATTGATAAAAACGGTGAAGAGGTAAGTACAGTCAAGGGTGTATAACATAAGGGCGAGTAACTTGGTGCCATAGGATAACGATCTCATTAGAACTCGTAAGACAGACTAGTATTCTGAAATGTGGTTATTACCAACGCTCATTGAATTTGAACTCACACGCAAGAGGTCATTGTAAACAACTTTACAAAGTGATGATTCAGGTTTGAAATTCTATTTTGCATCTTAATTTCAGTTGCCAGGCAACAAGATGGATTCCCATAACCTAGCAACCCTATTTGGGCCAAATCTTCTTCACCGATTGAAACCTGGACCTGATTTTCATCCTGAGAATACAACAGAGAGAGTAGAAGAAAGTAGAGAGATTATTGATGTTGTAAAATGTATGATTGACAACCATGGTGACATATTTCAGGTATGGAAGATTTTGGTCCAACATTTTGCAATTTTATATGTGTAATTTTCTAGGATTTGTTTAAATGTAGATTTTGTACTATTTGTTCAAATGTACTTTTTCATTAGGGTATCTACAGGTCTTGACAACATTTTTTGAAGGATTTTTAAAAAAATTACAAGTTTACCAGTAGCTATCATGAATAATATTATCAGTATTTCCATATTTTCCTTCAATTAACATATGATTTGCAGAAATATTGATAACATTTATATACTGTCGGTATTATTTTTTTAATGTCATCATTTTTCCATGTTTTTATGTATTGTTTGATAATTTCTTTATTAATTTTGGACCAAATAGACATATTGATCAACCTATTTTTTTAAAAAAAATGTGGAAAAATTCAGGCTAGCTAATTTTGTGAATGGTACAAAAGTTGACTTCATCTGCACAACGCCTTGCTGTTCAAATAAACAAAGAAAGTTTTGCAGATTTTTAAAAAAGTTTCATTTGGGGTTTTAACATTTTTGTTCGTTTATACCATGCATGTAACTCATCATAAGTTGACATATTTGTAGATATCGGCTGAAGATCACCACGAGGTAATGAAGATATTACTTGAGACTGACCCCGAGGCATTGGATTTCATACTTAATAGGATATCATCAGTATTAATGGGGTAAGTGAGTGAGTAGGTGGGGGGGGGGGGTTAGTTTGGTGAAGGAAGAGGCTTAGGATATCGAGAGAGAGAGAGAGGAAAAGCAGATACATACGTCAGATTTTAATCAAGCTGTTTGCTAATATGTCTTGCGAATTGTTGATCCATTCTGGTTGCATTGAGGTCTGTTGAGCAAAGTCATAATTATCTCCATTCAACTAATTTCTGCATATTTCGATCGCTAGCTATTTTCATGTACAGTAATAGGTTTCATGGTGTTTAATGATTGCAGGTATCGGCCGAGTACAAGTGAGTCAAATGTGTGGGAAGACAATGACATATCATCTGCACCTCACACACCTAACAGTGACATTGATCTATTTGGATCAAGGACAAAGTCTACCGATGGTTCTCAGTCTCCGACTGTAGTAAACCATGTGCCTGATTCTCCCAGTGCATCGCCTCGTCAGTTACCACAGACTCCACAGCCGCCTCACAAAACGGTTGCTTTTTCACCGTATAAAACGGAAAGGGAGCGGTTCTTCTTAGACACTACTGTGGTGCCGGAACATATTAAACTCTCTGCTGTTGGCATGAAAAAGAAAAAAAGTATTCCTCCAAACTTGGATTTATCTGCCAGCCAAAATGAACTCAAAAAAACAAATGTTTATTCCCCACCTGTTAGTCCAGTATCCCCACTTCCGAGTTATGCGGAACACATTCAAACAAGGAAATCAGTGCTGAACAATAACTGGGGGAAACCAACCACCAGTCAACTAAACAATAGCAGCATAACTCCCAAAACAGTGTCCCTGAGTCCGCCACTCAAGTCTGCTTCCGAACTTTCCAAAAACAGTGCTCCGCTCTCGGCAGGATTAACTTCGCCATCAAACGAAGAAAGGTGGTCGAAACTTAACGTTAAGCGAACACTAACGCCTCCGTTGATAAGGGCGCATGTAGGAAGTGTGTCGGATGATCGAAGGACTGAATCAGGCATGCTGGGAAAAAAGAACGCTTACTCCGGGGATAAGTCTCCAATCAGAATCAAGGAATGCGACAAAGACAAGTGGATGCAGTGGAAGCAGAGATCGTCAGAAAGCAGTACGGGTGACATGTATGAACAGGAGACGTTAGTTTGACCACAGAAATCACACTATATCTTACAAAACAATTTTAAAAAAGGAAAGGAAGTACCGCTGAATTGTGGGAAGTTAAAATGACAGGAAGAAGCAGTGAACTATGGGAAACTGATATAGTCACAGGAAGTTGCACTGTATGATGGAAACCAAATTGATAAGTCTCTCACTCACTCGCAATATTGTGTCGTCTTTATGTTTGTATAAGCTGCCATTATAAATTTGAAAAATAACAGAAATTTTGTCTTTTCATTGACTATTTGAGTTACTGGACAGTATTTCCGATATTCCCCATTTTAACTTTGTGGGTTTCTTTTATTAAAATCCCACTTGGAGGGATCATATGAATTTTGAAATTTGACTTTTTTAAAAAACGTTGTGTCATATTGATGCTGTGTTTAAGATTTTTATACTGCTTTAGATTAGTGAAGATTTTTAATAAGATTTTCCAGTTTTAAAATCTCTGTGGTTTGAAAGATAAATGTTATGTACAGTATGGTTAATGGACATCAGTGTAAATGCTGGTGTTGATGCCAGGACATTTAAAATCATTGCTCAGTTTTTAACATTAAGATTAGCTTAACTGTTAATATTGTATAGTCTCAACCTTTTAATGTTTAAATTACGTCCTAGATTGTGAATTAAATCATGTTTTATTTTAGAAAACATAAGTTAATTCAGAATCAATTTTTTTTTCCTCAATATCAGTATTGAATTTGAGCAGAATACAAGATTATCTGGGTTCATTTTTTCTTACATTTTTGCATATTTAACCTATGGATGTGAAATAAATGTTATCATTCCAAATTTACCTCAGTTATTGTAAGGAAAGAAGGAAAAATTGTTATAATTCTGAGTACTATTATGATGGTCAAATACCATGATATCTCTATGTATTTAACACATGAGTACACACAAGTTCACTTTCGGATAGATCTAGGTCATTTAGGACTCGCACTTAATCAATAGACACACCCATATAATCCAATACTGAGTACTGGTACTCATTACGCCTCAATCATTCTCGGCATGTTCAGTGTTTAATATGAATCGCATGTGACCTACACAACAAGTAAAATACATTGTTTGTTTACAACTGTAGTACTTAAAGCAATAAATCACCTTTGGGTCTGGGTACCAAAAGAATTTGGCAATGAATCTTACCTCGCTGATATTTCGTATGCTGTATTTTCTCTATTAGAAGCGCATTTCAAATACTGTAGAATACTTTATTTTCACTTGGAATTAATTTTCGCTGAGGGGATGATTCAGTGAAAACAAAATCCTGTGAATTTACCTTTTTTCCTATATTCTAAAATCAACTCGTCAAAAATCAGTGAAAATAAATTCCATACAAAACACTCAAAAAGTGTTTTCATCGAAAATTAATTCCAGCTAAAATAAAGTATTTTACAGTATTTCCAAATTTCACAAAACTAAAAATTGAATTTATTGCATACTGGATTATTAAAATATGACTTATTTTGACCATAAACACACATCTCACTTACATCAGCACATACTCTAATAATATAGCTAACGTAATACTGTGTATGGAGTATTTCTGTGCAATATATACGTAACGAACGAATGAGTTTACTAGCAATGTATTTTATAGAATTGTTCAAATATTAAATATTTTGAGAATCATTGTTTTTGATGGTTGGCGGATTTTATTAATATTTGTCAGATACTTTAAAATTGTAATTGCGATATATATATATATATATATATCACAAAATCTTGCATCACGCCTTCTTTCATTATTTTGCAGTGAGATAGTCAATCATTTTTCCCTGAATACCGCAATTCGGTGTATGTGTCACTGTTTTCTCATTTGTAACAAGTTGATTGCAGCTCATTACCCACATGTATTTTTCTTTCATTTGCATAGATCACCTCAACGAATGCTAAAGGTCAACTACGTGACAAATAATAATAATAATACATTTCAAATGCAAACATCAAAGTTCTTGTGGAGACAACAAAAATGGGATTATGATATTAAAATTCAATGTTCCAGTGAAACATACTCCACTGTTATAATGTGTTATAAAGTGCAATGAGGGAAAGATGAAATTAATCTCTAATAAGCCAGCAAATTAATTTTTGTCTTACTGTAAAATTCACAATATTTTCAGCATAGTCTTATGACTTATTTGCTCTTGTCCATTTCCGAACCATTTCTGCTTTCATCCAGGATAGCTTGAGAACACCGTTTATTGCGTATTATATTATCAAATCACCTGAACATATACCTCAAGTTACTTCATGTGAATTAACTTAAGTTACTTTCAACATACTTTAATTTAATTCAAGGCACTTCAAGTTACTTCATGTGAATTAACTTAAGTTACTTTCAACATACTTTAATTTAATTCAAGGCACTTCAAGTTTCTTCATGTGAATTAACTTAAGTTACTTTCAACATACTTTAATTTAATTCAAGGCACTTCAAGTTACTTCATGTGAATTAACTTAAGTTACTTTCAACATACTTTAATTTAATTCAAGGCACTTCAAGTTACTTCATGTGAATTAACTTAAGTTACTTTCAACATACTTTAATTTAATTCAAGGCACCTCAAGTTACTTTAAGTTAATTCAAGTTACTTTAGGGTAATTGAAGTTATTTTAAGGTAATTCAAATTTATATTACTTTAACTCAAGTTACCTAAAGCTTATTCAAATTAATTTAAGGTAATTTAAGTTACTTTAAATTAAATTAAGTTGCTTTAGGGTAATTTAAGTTACTTTAGAGTAATTCAAATTACTTTAGGATAATTCAAGTTACTTTAGGGTAATTCAAGTTACTTTAGAGTAATTCAAATTACCTTAGGATAATTCAAGTTACTTTAGGGTAATTCAAGTTACTTTAGAGTAATTCAAATTCTTTAGGATAATTCAAGTTACTTTAGGATAATTCAAGTTACTTTAAAGTAATTCAAATTACTTTGGGGGGTAATTCAAATTACTTTAAGGTAATTCAAATTTCTTTTGAGTAATTTGAATTACTTTGGGGTGATTCAAATTACTTTAGGATAATTCAAGTTACTTTAAGTTAATTTTGTGTATGTTTTATTCAATTTGTTAATAGTATAGATTATATCTTTCTTTTTATGTATAAAACAGACATGTATGTATTAGTATATCAAATTATTCAATAGTGCAATGTCATTGGTCAATCATGATACAAACCTTTACTGTCAAATCAAATTTCAAATAAACAAACATGACGAGAAATTTTTGCAGCTGAAACTATTGAAATAAGAGAGATGTTATCAGTTATATGTGCTATAATTATGTGTTTTTTGTTTCAATATATTTAGGAAATGTATGTGAAATATTGTTGTGCCAGATTACAGACTGCCATTATCACTATTGTCTCCTGACATTTTTTTATGTGCAAATACAGAACATATAGTGATTTCAGTCAACATTTTTGTTTGTGCCAATAAATTTTCTTCTTCTTTACTTTTTTTCTAATTTTCGTATGCGAATATTCGCATGACTTTTCATTTTGTGACCGTTCAAACAGTACACAGAGAAAAACATTAAACCGTGTGTCTGTTCCATTTTTTATCTTGGCTGTATGAGAAGTTCAGACTGCATAAAAACAATTACTCCTATCAACAGAAAGTTCATTCTAAAAGATTGTTGACATTATTGTCAATTATCAAAAACCATCAGTAGCCATAGCTAGAAATGCACATCCAATGACATATTTGGTCATCTTGCATAGTTTTATACAATTACAATTCTTTTTGACTCAAGTTGGTCATGTGATAAAAAGGTTATCACCTGATAGCACTTATTCAAAGAGCTGGTTGAAACAAGTGATGTCATAGGATAGTATCATCTATTTTCTCCTTTGATTCATGGATATTACTAGCCAATGAGGTCACTTGTGTCAATGAGCTCTTTGAACTAATGATATCAGTTGATAAGTTCATACTATTTCACCAACAAGTAGTAGTAATATTTTTCTTTTCCTGCAAGTTCAGAACATGATATTGCTTACGGATTATACCCAAGAAGTTTTAAAAATATCAATCAATATTTTGACCATTTAGGAGACAATACTGGGAACTACTTTGGTGAATGTTAGAAAGTAAACACTGGTGGTGACAGGGTTGAATAGTTATCCATTCATTCTACACAGTCAAAACAATGGAAAGTTGCGAATATATCAGATTTGCATATTTCTGCATATTAATGAGACTTGCCAATAAATATTCATACATTTGCATATTTTTGCATAATCAATGCGCATGACCAATAGATATTCATACATTTGCATATGTTTTGCATAGTTAATGAGATTTTCCATTAAGTAGTCATTTCATTTGGTAGAGCCAGGTTTTGATAAATTTCATTCTGTTTTACACTTTATCATGCAGACACATGCTTTATTATGTTGAATACAACACACATTAATAAGTAACATTTTCAGATTTTAATTCAATTTATTGTTCACTTTATAAAGTGTATACTTATTTTAATACCAACAGTCTGCAGGTATCATCTACTGCCATGTGACCATGCATAATTTGAAGCTTAAAGCAGATGTAATTATCATTTATATATATATATATATAGTCATCTTAATCATCTGCTATGATGTAATTTGAAGATATGTAGATGATTGTTTACATTTAAAGTAGAATTGTACATTTCAGTTTATTTTCATCAACATTATCACAATGACAGTGTTGATATAAGTTCTTTTTAAGTGAACTTTTATTTGTCTGTAACCGACTCGAAATCAAAAGCAAGTTTTTTTTTAAATGGATATCTTGCTAAGAGGTTATTGTTATTGCTGAATTGTAGGAATACCATTACATTTAATTGTTGAATTTGATTTCATTGTACCATATCCCAGTAATTCAGCTGATATTTAACAGTTTGTACTGTGTATCTCGTATTTATGTCTAATAATATAATTTCACACAATGCATTATGGATTGTGTTTTGTTTCAATTACACTTGTTGATGAGTCTCCA